ACGCAAACCTTTGATAGATCCGGCCCTAAATGTTCAGGCTCTGGTCCGGTCCGGCCATTTCCATATCCACTATTGTAATCGCACCAAACAGGGAAAAGAACAGCGAGAAGATCCAGTTTGTCAAATTAATGTATTTGTACTTCGTTAATTGACACCTCTGCTTTTTAATTGCATTTCTATGATTTAAATATTTAATTTGAAATGCCTTTCTTTCCTATTGAGTGGCTCTCCTGGTCCTCCATACTGTTCTAGGTTGTTTTGTTTTTTTTAGCTGTTTACATGTTGCTCTGTTTAACTTGGATTTTTATTTTCCTCCAATGAATAAATAGCTTCAAATCAGTCTTCTATGTCTCCTAAATAAGGACTAATTATGGTTTTATTTTCATCAGAGACTATTTTCATGCAGAAAATTTAAAACAACACATTTGCTCTATTTTTAATGACTGAAATATTTTTTTGGATATTATGTGAATACTGTTTGTGCTTACATAATGTAAATCTAAACTTCAGTGTTCTTGTTAAAAGAATTGGATAGAATAGCCAGCCCAATATTGCTGGTGAAAAAGACTGCAGAGAGTCTGGTAGTGATGTGGTCCGACAGTCATGCTGCTGTGGTAGTTTCCTGTTGAGGAAATGGTTTAGAAGGAGGAAGCAGAGGCTAACCTCAACTGTCAGATGAATAAACCATGTTCAGGTTAATCTTTAGCTCACTAAAGCGAGCGTTTGTTTGTGACCTTTACTCAGCTCTCCGAGTTAGATTGGCAAATGAACTCTAACAAGGTGCCAAACACTCCTTGTTTTCAGGAGGACGTGATTAACCGCAGCGTGTTATGGCGGTTATTGGTATCTGGATGAATGCTCTCTCTCTCTCTCTCTTCCTGTGCCTCTCCTGAACCGTCCCCTTCTTATCCCTCTGCAGCACTGACGGCCCCTTCCTAAATGAGCCAGTCTCCTGGCAACCAGGCACCAATCAGCACACAAGATCTCTCTCTGTAGTAACCACAGTGTGGGGCGTGACCAATCCCACACACAGCCAGGTAACACATGACTCACTACTGGGGGACATCTCTGTCTTCTTGCGTTCAGTAATGGAGGCTTTGATACATTTATCTGTGGGAAAGAAATATTAATGAGTTTTATAGCAGCAGTTCAAGTTCTTTTATTTTAACTTAACCTGGCTGGTGTATTGAGGGTCTCCAGAGAGGGGGTCCTGACCCTGAGGGGGTTTAAAGAGATGATTCTGCATGATGAGACCCCAAAGGTTTATGGAGGGTGGGAAGGGACAAAATTAAACAAATCATCTAATAAATGTCCCACTAATTAACTAATTGTCCTTCCTTCCTTCCTTCCTTCCTTCCTTCCTTCCTTCCTTCCTTC